AATATCAGTGTCTTCGATCAATATTCCGACACATCTGACTATGGCACCATGAGGGCCGACCAGATCCAGAAATGGCAGGCACATGGCGGCATGGGTACGGGTCATCTCTTTTTATTATCGTGGACATTGACCGCATCTGCTACCAGCCCCAGCGTCAAGTCTATGGCCGACTATGCAAATGCACAACTACCGGGCGTGTTGTATGGCCAGATCGTGGCGGCCGGGTTCAGCAAACCCAATATCGTTTACATTGATTATGTGAGCAGCACCGTTGCGCAAAGCATTATTCTTTACAATGTATTGTCGACGCCAGCTACAAAAGCGTTGGCTTCGGTTGAAGTGAAAGACGTTACAGCGTCTGTTTAGTATCTATCCATAAAAAAACCGTCTCCCATTTGCGACTGCAAATCCGGGTGACGGTTTTAATGGGTTACAAGGGGCTGCAACTGGTATTATCGCCGTATCGCTTTGGCAATGGCTTCCAGGTGTTCATTAAACATACTTAGCTGTTGTAACAGCTGGCCGGAGGTATCGCTCTGATCCAGTCCGCCAAACTTATTGTTCTTTATAAAAATGGTTTTAATCTGCTCCCAGCGCTCTTTATCAGCGCCGGTGATGAAGCCTGCCAGCTCTTTCAGCTTCAGCAGATTGGCTTCGGCATCAGAGGTCAGGGTTTGTGATTCGCCTTCGTAATGCGATAAAACCAGGGTCTTTACTTCTTCCAGGTTCATGAGTGGTACTACCTTGCCCACCATCTTATTCATATTCCGGTAAGAACCTTGCAGCTTAAAGGGAGGCTCTACACGATAAGCATCTTTCATAGCAGCACTGTTGATGTATTGCTGATTTACCCGGATAACAATATCCCTGATGAGCAGTATATTTTTCAATACAGCAATGGCATCATCTACCTCCTGGCTATTATAGTTACCTTCCATTTCCGGCAGCATATCGTTTTGCGATTCGATATAAGTGATGAGCTTGTACAAATCTTCGAGACTACGATTGGCGATACGCTGGAGATAACGATTTTCCTGTAC